CTGGAGTAAGAGTCTGCTTCTGTTTTCTTTCTCTGTCCTAAGCTAAGGTGCATATTGATTGTCTTAATGGCACAGGGTTTATTATTATGTACCTGGTTTCTTTAGGTATGGTGGTGGAATAAGCAAATTTATAGGGTACTTCAAACTAAATTCCTATTCTTAGGCAAATTTAAAGTTTATTTAAGTCCCACCCTTTCTTACCAGGACTTTTCACTATAAGGGTGTGTTTTTTCTCAGGATAGAAAAAAAGGGTACTTTTTTTCCTCCCTTCCTTCCTTCCTTCCTTCCAAGCTTCCTTGGCTTTGTCTTTGCATTGAAGATGTTTTGACATTTTTAGAAAACACACTACTATATATTTGGTGTCACATTTTGTTTGGGGATTTAAGTAAACTAAAGCTATACATTCTTATTGTTGTAATGTTTTCAGTTTATGCATAATATGGTACATTTTGACATAGACAAATGGTAACATATTAATGAACATACTTTCACAGTTATTATAAGAGATTTTCATTATTGAAAAGTGAAAATAGTGATCCATTGCTATCTGTTTGCTTGGCATTAAATGAATTTTTTTAAAAAGCGTTTTTAGTTTTGTACCTAGCTAGATTATGCATTTCTTAAAACATTGTGGCAAAAAATAAAACATTATGGCTCAAAGAGTATAGTGACCGAGTCTTGTCTGCATAAAATTCTTCTGTAGTTACCTCACCAGGTTAAATCTAAACCTCCTTAACAGGCATTTTTAAAACACTCTTATCTTCCTCAGATAAAATCTTTTATCTTCCTCAGATAAAATCTTTTATCTTCCTCAGATAAAATCTTTTTAGCTGAATTTCTTACTTCCACTATACTTCCACTATACGTTTTTCACATTGTCATTTCGTAATTCTAGCAACCGATAAATGACTTTATTTTCTCCTAAGCCTTGGAACTTTGCTGAAAAAAGTTGTCAGCTGGGGTTTTTCTAAAATCATACTATCTTATTTTATCAGGACTTTCACTGTTGCTCACGGATTTTATTTTATTTTTACCTTTTTTTCTTATTGCTCTTATTCTTTCATATTTCTATAAACTTGCCTTACTTTTTGGGGTTCCTTTTTTTGTTTATCCCTTCCCTCCTTTTAGGAAATAATCCTCAGATACTTGTTTTACTTGCTAAGGTTAGAATCATCTAATTTCTTTGTTGTTTATTTTAATACTAGAGGCCTGGTGCATGAAAATCGTGCATGGGGGGTGTGCCCCTCAGCCGGGCCTGCGCCCTCTTGCAGTCTGGGACCCCGCAGGTAGGGTCCCTAGGCCTGGCCCATGATCAGGGCCTATGGGGGCTTTCCTTCCCCAGGCTGCTGGCAGCTGGCTCCACCTCTGCTGCTGCCACTGCTTGCCATCTGTGTGGCACTGCTCCCCCCTCCTCCCTTTCCCGCTACCCGTTGCCTCCCTCTGCGGGTGACAGGCGTGGGGTGGGATTGCTTGGCTGGCCTGGGCCTCCCTCTATGGGGTGATTGATTGCGGGCCCCCAGATTGACTGCCCCGCAGAGGGAGACCCTGCCCACCCGCCGCAGCGCTGCTGGCCAAGTAGCCTGGGCCTCCTTCTTTGGGGGATCAATCACAGGGCTCCGCTATTGATAGCCCAGCAGAGGGAGGCCCTGCCCACCCGGCCGGGGCTCCGCAATTGATCGCTGTGCAGAGGGTGGGCTGGGCTTCTCTCTTTGGGGCGATGGATCGCCAAACCCCTCCACACCCGTCCCCTCCCCCCCGCCCTATTGCCCCATTGATCACCCTGCAGAGGGTGGTCTGGGCCTCCCTTCGTGGAGCAATCGTGGGGCAATGGCGTAGCCCCCCTGACCAATCGCACTGCACCCACCTTGGCTGGCCTGGTGCCCGTGTGTGTCATAGCGTGGTCGTTCTGCTGTTCTTTCTTCAGTCGATCAATTTGCATATTATGCTTTTATTATTATAGATTGCTATCTCTTCTATACCTTTCTTGCCTTCATACATCTTAGAAGCCTTTTATCCCTCCTAGCCAAGACCAATCCCTATGCTTATGTAGTTGATCTCATCCCTTTCACCATTAACATAACATTGTTTTTATTTTAATGTCCATAATTCTTTTTTTTAAATATATTAATTTTTTACAGAGAGAAAGGGAGAGGGATAGAGAGTTAGAAACATTGATCAGCTGCCTCCTGTATACCCCCTACTGGGGATGTGCCCACAACTAAAGTACATGCCCTTGACTGGAATCGAACCCGGGACCCTTCAGTCCGCAGGCTGATGCTCTATCCACTGAGCCAAACCTGTTAGGGCCATAATTCTTTTTTTAACATTTTGATTGAAAGACTGCAATGTCCTACTCTTTGGTTTATTATTGACCTCATTAACATTTGAGATAGGCTTGTGGGAAAAAGGTCATCTGTTCAAAAATTCTCTCTACAGGAATTTTGTCCTTTCACATTTGATTTAAACACATTTATAGTGCTTTTAAAAATATTTTCCCAGCCCTAACTGGTTTGGCTTAGTGGATAAAGCATTGGCCTGCAGACTGAATAGTCCTGGGTTTGATTCCGGTTAAGGGCACATGACTGGATTGCTGGCATGATCCCCAGTAGGGGGTGTGCAGGAGGCAGCCAACCAGTGATTCTCTCTCATCATTGATGTTTCTATCACTCTCTCCCTCTCCTTCCTCTCTGAAATCAATTTTAAAAATATATTTTAAAAACAAAAATGTTTTCCCAGTAAATTTAATTTTTCTTCTCTTTTGCAGTCCTTTTTAATTATTTAGTATATTTATATTTCTGATAGTCATTTTGAAATAGATGAATTTGTCAAATCATCTGTAGTTTCACATTCCCATTAAAATAAATCAATTATTACAATTAATGATGCATGGAATAGAAATTGCTTACGGATGCTTTAGAATTCTATTTCAAATTCTACCGGTTCTGGGGAGCAGGGGTGAGAGTGGAGATAACTACTCTATAGGATCATGGAAGGAGGATAGTGAAGAGAAATTTCCCTGACAGGTCACATAAATATTTCTCTCCTGCAATTTAATGGAAGAAAAGAAAGGCTAATTGGGATAATACACACTCAGTGAAAATGTGCATAGTATTTTTTGTTGTTTTCATTTTATTACTTGTCTAAATAGAGTAAAATTATAAAGTAATATTAAATTGTTAACATTACTAAATAATGTACTCAATATGAACATAGTGGGTCTTTTTGTTAGGTTTTAATCAGTGAAAAGTCCTTGGAGGCGGATTTTTAGATCATAGGTTGCCACTCTTGTCCTATGTAATAAAAGCCCTAAGAGCATAACAACCACCAGGGGCCAGACGCTCAACCCAGGAGGAGGGGGAGGGGGGCACAGTGAGGCCTGGAGGCGCATGCTATGGCCCAGAGATCCCAGGAACCGCAAGCTCAGAGCTTGCTTCCAGTAAAAAAAATTAATTGAAAATCAAAAATAATGGCCAACGCTGCCACACTGGGAAGAATGGCTCCAGGAAGGAAAGGCCTCCCCAGTCCCCACCTGGCCTGGCTGACACAGGCACTCACCAGTGACTGCAGCTACTTCCAGCTACTGGCTTCCTGCCCGCACTTCCTAGACTACTACGTGTGCTTAGGGGCGTGGCTTCGGCCTCCCTGGCCAATAGCACCACATCAGCTCCGGTGTCCAGCTTCTGGCTTCCTGCCCACCCCTTCACATACTGCCTGTGCTTGGGGGCATGGCTTCAGCCCGCCCCCACCTCTAGCGCTGGCTGGGCATTGATTTGGCCACGTGACTGACATCCATATGCAGTTATACTGCATGTTTACATTTGTAGAGAAGCAGGGTAGCCCGCTCCTGCCGCCTGCTTCACCTTCTAAGCTAAGAAAGGCCTCTTGATCTCCATGTTTCCCGCCCGTCCGGAATCAAAACCTCTTGGGGATGAATGATTCCAGCAATGGCCCCAACACACGCTCGGTGTCACTGTCACAGACATTCTCAGTCATTACAGCCCATTCCTCAACCCGCAGTGCCCTGCTCCACCCACTGCCACTCCTCACCTGTCACCCCCTGAGGACCACCTTATGTTATCCTATCTGAAATGTGAGCAAGATCTCAAATGCCCCCCTGTCAATAGCTCCCTTGCCCTACCTTTCTTCCTCTAAAAAGCTTGCATTTTAAATATATATATATTTTATTGATTTCGGAGAGGGAAATAGAGGTAGAAACATCAATGATGATAGAGAATCATTGATTGGCTGCCTCCTGCACATTCCAAACTGGGGATGGAAACATTCCCTGGTTCCTCCCCTCACCCCTACCCCAGCCAGCAGGCCCCCAGTGGCAGCGCAGCACTGAGGTTGGGAGAGAGGAGAGGCAGGGAACCGAGGGGTGGTGGGGTGCCGAGGACAGCGTTGGCATCTGGTGTCTGTTCCTTCTGCACCCAGCCCGGCCACTGTGACCTCCTCTCCCGACCCCGCCAGGGCCTTCAGGCCCTGATCAGCCTGGCCCTGATTGGCCCTGATCACCTGCCAGGACTTGGGACCCCACCTGTGCATGAATTTCATGCACTGGGCCTCTAGTTTTCAATAAAATTTTGGTTAAAAAGCTGTGGGCTTTTTTTCCCTGTTAACATGAAAAATATGTGAAACACCTTCTGCAGTAGAATCTAAAGCAAAGTCTTATTCAGATACATAAGAACAAAATGAATTGTATCAGTAATGTGATGCATAATGAGATGTTGTGAATTTACTTTTTTCATATATTCTGCCTGTATTAGCATACTTAAATTTTTATTTTTGTTGTGTGTGTAGGTTAGAGCCAAATATCACCTTAATTAATAGAAGGTCAATAAATTGACTTAATTTGTGGAATGTAGTGAAATTGAGAGTTGAATGAATACTTGGAAGCCATTTAAAAAAAAAAAAGAAAACATCAAATTTAATTTAAATTAAAAAAATCAGAAATTATCTGGAAAAAACAATGGAGCAAATCAACTCCTAAAAAAGAGGGCTGCGTTTTTGTGATCACATTTATTGGAAGGGTTGGAGAAAAATAAAAATGCCATTTAGCTTTAGAATTTGTGAGTTATGTGCAAATAAACTCATTTCAGGAGCAGAAGAATCCTTGGTCATTTCTTAATATCAAAATTTACGCAGGTTTCTCTTTTGAATATCTTCTACCTTTAAAGACGCAATCATATAAAGTCTCCTAATTTCCACACAGGATATATTCTTTGTTTCAACCAACTCTCAATGGAGGGGCAACTAGGACAACACCATCTCCCCAGACAAAAAGCATTGGAATATTCCGTTTTGTTGATTTATATATCTCTTCATATGTTTCTTCATCAATTTCTATAGTAGTCACAGTTTCTTCCACATCTCCCAATATCATATTTAAATGTTGATCATAAGCATGTAATCTACCTCTAAGCTCTCTGTCATTTCTCATTTTCACATAAATTCGCTCATCCAGGCTGAGCCTGATAAGATCCAGGGGCTCTTCTACAGTGTTGGTAGTTTGTTGCTGGTCCATGTCGTCCGCCATTTTTTTCTGGAAGCCATTTTTTAACTCAGCAAATACCTAGTGTATTTCCCATGTGCCAGGTAAACCAGCTTTCTGAAAGTCATAGTTTAATATATAGTTTCTTCTTCACTTCCCCTAGATAGCAGTGATACAGTGTCATTTCTCTATTTTCCCAAATAGCTCTTTTATTCGCCTTTTCTGATCTTTCTCTTCTGTAATAATCTCAGTTTTATCACTAATTCTCTCCTGCCTGTACTATTTTAACAACTTTCACCTAGTTTTCTACTTTCTAGCCTAATTCCCACTGATGCCAGGATGACCTTTGAAAAACACAAATCTGATTTTGATACTCACCTTCTTGATACCCTTAAAGTGATCCTCATTTTATACCATATTCCTTAATATACCACAGTTTTTTCCTGACTATATCCTATGCCTTCACCTCACACTCTAAGTTAACTTTGACTACTTGTAGTTTCTTAAAGAACTAACATATTTTTTTCATGACTTTGATCATACTTTTCTCTCTAGTCACCATATGGAATATTTGTTCTTTTTAAACCAATAAGAATATTATTAAAATAAGAATAGAATACTACCACCAACAAAAGCAGTTTAGGTAGATAATCCATATATAGCTTTTACTGTGCACCAGGCACTCTGCCTTCATTACTCATAGTTTTTGCAACAACCCTATAAGATAGGTACAAATAAGAAAACAGAAGCACAGGAAGCATGTGTAACTTGCCCAAGGTCAAGCATTTAGAAAGTTGGTGTTGCAGTTCATGAACCCAGTCATTTGCTACTACACGACATTGCGTGGTCATGCGTGAGACTGTTTAAGCGTCACTGCATCTGATTTCCTTTCCAGATCTTACCTCTCCACCTCTCAGGAAAAACAGGCTGCTTCCTTGTTTGGATCTCATCTGTATAGCCCTTAGGTCATATTATTGCATTTACACTCTTCTGCCTTGCTTCATAAGGACTGGAATGCCATGTTTTTGTATCTTATCCTTGTATCTTCAGTGGTTTTGGCACATACTTAATGACAGGCAGTTGGATAAATGAATGCATAAGTCACAATTTAAAGATGGAGGGAACCTAAGAGATCATCCCTTTTAACCTTCTTATTTTATAGATGAAGAGACTGAAATAAAGTGAACATGATGGTAATACCAGATTTTAATGTGGATACTTTACCAAAGTTAAGTTTTAGTACTAGTCTTTAGTGGTTGGGAGCCGTTTAATTTGCTTCAAAACTCAATCTGAAGAGCTGGTTTAGTGGTTGAGAGTGTTCTGGGTAGTGTTGGCAGAATCTGGTTAAGAAGTACAGCATTTAACATGTTCTGTTAATACCATGTGATCATTTATATGCCATATCTGTTAATTATAAAGCAGATGACTAGTATCATTTGCTTTTTTAGGTCCTCTGAATAATGTCCAGATACATTAGTACTTTAAAAAAAAAATTAGATTGTGAGGTTGTAAAGAATTTTAATATATGCAACCTTTGAAACCGGTTGGTAAATTTTGAATCTAGAAAATGGATATATGGGGTTAATGATAATATTCTCTACCGTTTTTGTATACTCAAAACTTAAAACATTTTAATAATATAAAGTAGGGGGCTATAAAGAGAGATTGGGAATAGAGTATAAGCTATAAGATGAATAAGGAAACTTTGAGAATGAAAAAAAAAAATAAAAATAAAGCCTAAAAGTTCTAATCTCTACTCTGGCTGTGTGAAACTGGAATGTTTATTTGTAAATGTAGGTCTTCATAGTATGCACCGTATACTTTGCAGTTTCTTGCTGAGCTTCTTTTGCTGTTGTAGCATAAACAAGTAATTTATGTTTTTTTTATTGATTTCATACAGATAAAAATTTTTTTCTGGTAACTGGCTTTGGGTGACTTTATATGTATGTTTAGCTGAAGATCAATGATAGGAAACATTTTTAGCTTCTTAGGGGAAAAAGCCCCAAATTAGCTTACTTTTATTTTTATATAACACAATACCATAAATAGGATTAGTCACTATTGTATATTACATTTATTTTCACAATTATTTTGTTTTCTTACTTCAGAAATTCAGGTTCTTTCACAAGGTTCCAGATAAAAGTTATTATGGATGGTAGGTAAGGGCTAATCGATAAATGTTAGCTATTGGTAACATCCTACTTCTGTTAGATGTGTGCACCTGGATATTCTTTATAAGTGAATAATTTAATAAAATAGCCTTGTGTAAAGGACAATTGATAACACAAGTATTTAATACTTTTCAGTTCTTAAAAATGTAATTGTTGGGAAGTGGACATAAAGATATGATTTCTTTATCTGTGTTAAGATTTTGAATTAAAATATATAGAGTTAATTCTGTTACTTACTATTCTTATTTTAAGGGTTCTGATGACTGTCTTGTGAAAATCTGGGCAACAGATGATGGCAGATTGTTAGCTACTTTAAGAGGACATGCTGCTGAAATATCAGACATGGCTGTAAACTATGAGAATACCATGATAGCAGCTGGAAGTTGTGATAAAATGATCCGAGTCTGGTGTCTTCGAACATGTGCACCTTTGGCTGTTCTTCAGGGCCACAGTGCATCTATAACATCACTACAGGTACTTGTTTTAATCCTTGTACTATCCATTTTTATTATAATTTAAAGTAAGTTTTGAGAAGTTACTTTTATAATTCATTGTATAAAGTCTCCTAAGACAAAGGAATATTTCTTTTTTCTTTATAAATACATGGCTTTAGATAACTTGGTAGTCATGACCTTTGTTATTTCTAGACGTTTTTAATTCTGTTACTGCTATTTGCATCGTGAAAAATGGGTTTATTATTTGGACTGTGTCACTCTTGTAAAGATGTTTTTTTTTCTTTGATTGTTTTTCAGTTCTCACCATTGTGCAATGGCTCAAAGCGATACCTATCTTCTACTGGGGCAGATGGCACTATTTGTTTTTGGCTGTGGGATGCCGGAACCCTTAAAATAAAGTCAGTTGCTCTTTTATTTCACAGATGTAACTTTAAAGGCATAAATGTGTTTAGTGGTTGAAATTGCAAAAGTTATAAAGTAGTTGACAATAGGAATACATTTACTTTATCTTCTTGAGTAAGTAACATTTTGGCTCTTCATTGACCTCTCATTTTTATGCTTTCTTTCTCTTTTCATGCTTCAGAGAAAGTTTTCTCATGTTCACATGTTTGTTTCTTTTTTCTCTTATCTTTATCCTAGCTCTAGCTCTTTTCTATAGACTATACCTGTCTTACCACCATTTATTTCTGTATGCTACCTAGTTTTATCTGACTATCTCCTTCTGGTGCTGAGAACATAATCTTAGAGTTCGTAAGCTATTCTTTAGAACAATTGTAATTATTTGTTACCACATCTATAAACTCTAGGTTTTATTGTAGACACTTAGGAAAACAGAATCATTACATTTTCACTAGGTAGATGCACCCTCCCTTTTGGAGGTTTTTGTATTTATGTTTTCACTTATATTATCTTAGTTTATCAAAACAAGTTGGCTGGAAAACATTATCTTTTGATTAAAGGACAATGAGACAAAGAAAGGTTAAATGACTTTCCGATAGTTAATACAGTTTTTTAAAAAATTGGCAAAGCCAGGACTAGCACACTTCCTTGCCCTTTGGTCCTGCACTGTCTACGCCATGCCACCTCTCAAGTGGATGTAGTAGGTACAGAAAGTGCTCTCTTTACTCCATAGACAGTCAGTGAATGGGGAGGTAGTACGTCTAGTGTTTCCACACTGTTGAAATGGCCATTTCTGTGCTTTCAGGATAGAAAGTCATTCAGATTAGAAAGTTTATCTCAGTAATTATCTCTTCTGTTTTTAAATTACCAACGAAATTGAGTTATTTAATAAAAAAATTTTGCTATTTATTCCTTTAAAACAGTAGTGTTTAAATAAAGTCATATGTATGGACATTCCTGGAGATTCTCTTCTAGTAGGGCATTAGGGGCCCATGGCAGCTTGAGTAACAAAATGAAACAAACAGCTTCATTTGAAAAAAGGATTGTGATCAAAGACATGGTTCCTTGGAGAAAGCAAATTTCATTTCACCCTAGTTGCATTCTTAATTTAGAATGTTAAAGGATTTCTGTAAACATTTAGATAAAAGTTGAAATAGCTTACTGATATATATGGACAATAGCAGTAGTTAATTGTTGTTTTCCTTGAGCATTTATTTACCTCCCTGTGGACATGATTGGGATACCTTTATCTTTTTCATTATTGTTTTTGTAGAGAAGAAAAAGTGATTAGTGATCTTAAAATTAGCATGGGAATAAAAATGGTATTACAAAATTAAACTCTTTGTGCTTCTTGAGAATTACATTGCTAAGTATAATAATACTTGTCTGTATCATTGAGAAGTTATTTCATATAATTTTTATGTAGATTTTTTAGAGCCTTTATGTAGATTTATCTATAAACCCTTTACCATAAGTTTTTCATGTAAATTTTTTTTAAATTTAGACATAAGCAGGGAAATACATATAATTTTCTGCTGTTTTTTAAAGTCTATCATAGCCATTTATAATAATTTCGATAGTTGCATTATATTATATTCCATTGAGTTGTTGATCCATACTTTGCTTAGTGATATTTTTTAGTTTTTTTGGACATACAAGGTTTTCTAGTTGTTTGTAAATAGTATTCTTTTCTATTTGCTATGATAATTGTTCCTTAGAAACTTTTAAGCTAGAGTCAGGCATCAAAATAAGAGTGATTATTTTTTTTAGATATAGGGACACCTGTTTTCTGTATTACACATAGTTGATACCTGCCAAAAAATTTGACAGGATTTAAATTACCATATTTATATCATATAAGCTTTAATTACTAATTGAAGGCAAAAAATGCATTATGCTATAATGCTTTTTTGTGTAAGTGACTTCAGCAGTCCTCTCTGCATTAATTGAAAGAATCAGTTTCATCACTAATTGAAACCTGTTTCGGAAAACCGAGGCTCTTGATAAATTCAGAGGGTTTGATG